GGAAGTAATTTTGTAAAAGGGAAAAGGAAACAGAAGTCAAAGTAAATGCCCATGACAATTCCCAAGGGAACAGCCACTGTTATACTTTCAGGCATCAGATATAATTGTGCTGAGAGACAATATCATTGCTTGCTCTGAGTTTCTGTCCAAGTGTTGATATAATATTGGATTTCCCTCATTACACAACACATTTATTCATTCTTTTACTTTAAGCTACTATTCTTCTCTCCACTTATATCCACATTTTTTCCACCTTTGGAAGGAACATTTGCCTAAGCACACTGCGGTGTTCTGGATTTCAGGCATCAATGCTAATTATTTTGTTTGTTTCATTTTTGCTTTTTGGTTGTGTGTTTTTGGGTTCTTTCTTGGTTTTGTTTTTGTTTGTTGTTGTTGTTTGGGGTTTTTTAATTGTTTTGTTTGTTTGTTTGCTTGCTTGTTTCTTGTATCAGGGATTAAATCTGGGAGGCATTTAACCATTGAGCCACATTCCTAGACCTATTTATGTTTTATTTTGAGACAGGCTATCAGTGCTAATATAATGGGGTTCAGATCATGGTTCTCTATAGTACCATGGCATTTGAGAAAACAGTAGAAGCAAGAAGGTCACCAACACCTTCCTCTTGCTCTGTTCTCCTGAAGCAGGCATAAATCACAGAAAGAATTATCTTAGTCCAATTTTTTGCTATTATAATAGAATATTACAGATTGAGTAATTTATAAATATGTGTGTGTGTGTGTGTGTGTGCATTTGTGTGTTTTCCCCCTCACAATTTTGGAAGCTAGAAAGTGCAACATGAAAGGCCCTATCCAGAGGCAGTCTTCTTGCTATTCCTGCTTGGTGAAAAGTATCACATGATGAGAAACTGTGCACAGAGACAGGGAGAACAGAGACATGAAATCAGGCTGAACTCATCAGGAACTCACGTGAGATAAGAGCATTAATCTTACTCATGAAGAAATCTGTCCTCGTGACCTAATCACATCTTAAAGGTCCCGCCTTTTAATACCATCAAAGTAGCAAATTTCAACATGAGTTTTTGAAAGGGACACTAAAACCATAGCACAATCCTAGACTGAAGCTCGCGACAAAACTTGTGAGTACCTCCCAACAATGAATACTTAGATGTTGGACTAGATAATTTCCAACTGAGAGAAGGAGGTGACCATCACTGACCTAATCAACTAACTCCAAGTTAACTGCAGTTAACTAGAATCCAAGCAATCACAGGTCTGATTGATAAGTATATTGAACCAAAACTACCCTACAGCAGTTATTCTCACAGAACAGATCTCCCCATGATGAGATTGTTCCTCTAAGACAGAACTGAGGCTAGCTCCTATAGCAGTAGCAATCAACTTACGATGGAAACTGAATTGCCCCCTTGAGTGATGATGACCTTCCCAGAGGTTTAGTCCTGAGATATTGATCAATCAGACTATAGTCTGATCAGAATGAGTTACTCTGCCAGTCCAAGTAAACCTCCCAGCCATACAAACCCCCAGACCTTGCCTTTGTTTTCATTTTCTATGAAACCTGTTTCTGTGAGCCCCTTGAAGATAGATCTTTGTCACTGTATTGCCATCTGTTCTTCCTGGTGTGGCCACACTGATTAAAACTTTACCACTGGTTATCTTTGATTAACAAACTGGAGTGTGTGGGCAAGACTGATCTGTTGGGACCACTAGACCCAGGGATTTTGTTCTAGGATTGTTACAGTTCAGATATAAGGTGTCTTCCAAAAACATATGTGTGAGACAATGCAAAGATATTCAGAGGTAAAATAATTAGGTTATGAGAAGTCTAACCTAATCAATAGCATTAATCAACTGTATGGATTAAATATGTAACTATAGGCAGGTGAGTGTGGCTAGAGGAGACAGGTCACTGGGGGCATGTCTCTGAGGTTTATATTTTGTCCCTCATGAGTAGAGCTCTCTCTACTTCCTGATTGTCTTATCCTGAACTGCTTTCCTCCTCTGTTCTGTCTCATCTTGGGCCCAGAGTAATGAACTCAGTTTTCTATAGACTAAGACCTCTGAAATTGTGAGCCCCAAACAAACTTTTCCTTCTCTCTGTTTTTCTTATCAGGTCTTTTTGTCACAGTGGGGAAAAAAACTAACTAAAATGGGGACTCTGGTAACAGTAGTACCAGCTTGCTATCAGATATTAATTTAAATTATCCCTAATGGCTGAAGGAGACAAAATATCAAAACCCAAAATTCTTACACTCTAATAGAGGATGGTGTCCAGAATCGTGTCATAATAAAGTAGAAATGGCTTACTCAGAAACATGTGAAGAAAAGATACTCATGACATGCAGGAAGCCTCTTTTCTCTTAGACTGACTCTGGAATCCCTTTGTTCCAACCTTATTGAGTCTGTTTATTCACCCCATTTATTTTTTTCTAATTTTAAATAATTCTTTCTTTATTGCAGTGCTGGGGATTGAATTCAGAGCCTTGTGCATATTAGGCAAGTGTGCTGCTGCTGAGCTACACCTCCAGACTAGCATCTCATTTCTTAATAACCATCTAAGCATTTTCACCCTACTGGTATATCTACATTCTCTCTTCTGGTTTTCCCCATTTTCTTGATAATTAATTTAATGTTTTTATCAGCCTCTGTAAGACCCATGAAAGGAAGATAAGACAGCCAATTTGATAAGGCTTTTCAGGATATTACTCAGTTTTGATCTTCGGTTGATTTTGTGACCCATTATTTCAAGTTTAATGGTTGTTTTTGTTTTCGTTTGATACTGGATGTTAAACTCAGGGGTGCCTTACCATTGAGCTACATCCCCAGTCCTTTTTTATTTTCTGAGACAGGGTTTTGCTAAGTTGCTTGAGGTCTCACTAAGTTGCTGTGGCTGGGTTTTGAAATTCTGATCCTCCTGAACTCAGCCTCCTCAGTTGCTGAGATTACAGGAGTGTACCACCACAATACCCAGCACCATACCCAGCTGGTAGGTTGTTTTTTTCTTTAGTTGTAGTTATTTATGTATATTTTAGATATTAATCTCTTATCAGATATATGATTTTCAAATATTTTATCTTATTCTATGGGTTGACTTTCTCTTCTCTCTCTCTCTCTCTCTCTCTCTCTCTCTCTCTCTCGCTCTCACTACTGGGGAGATTTAACAGGTACTCCTTATCACTGATTTACACCTCCAGCCCTTTTTATTTATTTATTTTAATTAATATTTTTGTGTGATGCTAGGGATTGAACCCAGGGCCTTGAACATGCAAAGCAAGCACTCTACCAACTAAGCTATATCCTTAGCCCCCTGTTTATTTTTATTTTGATACAGGGTTTCTCTAAATTGCCTAGGCTGGCCTCAAACTTGCAATCCCCCTGCCTTAGCCTCCCAAGTCACTAAGACCACAGGCATGTGTAAAGTCTCACTCCCTCCATAGTATACTTTGATATACAAAAGATTTCCATATTGTTGATGAACTCCTTGTCCATTTCTTCTTTCATCATCTATGCCATTGCTATCATATTCAACAAGTCATTGCCAAATCCAATGTCATGGAGATTTTTTTTTATTTTAAGAGAGAGAGAGAGAGGGAGAGAATTTTAACATTTTATTTTTTAGTTATTGGCCGACACAACATCTTTGTTTGTATGTGGTGTTGAGGATCGAACCTGGGCCGCACGCATGCGAGGCGAGCGCGCTACCGCTTGAGCCACATCCCCAGCCCATGGAGATTTTTTTCCCTATATTTTCTTCTAAGAACTTTGCAATTTTAGCTCTTGCATGTAGATCTTTGATCTACTTTGAGCTATTGTATACAATGTAAGGTAAAGATCTAACTTTTTCTTTTTTAACATTTATTGAAAAGACTATCCTTTCCCCCATTGAATGGTCTTGGTACTCTTGTCAAAGATCTTTTAACTATGTACACTGGTAATTCCAGCAAGTAGGGAAGCTGGGCAAGAGGATCACAATTTTGAGGCCACCTAGGCAATTTAGTGAGACCCTGTCCCAAAATTTTTAAAAATTAAAAAGGCTCTGGGATCTAGCTCAATGGTAGAGCGCTGCCTAGTATGTGCAAGGCCTTGAGTTCAGTCCCCAGTACTGAAAAAAACAAAAACATCGTTTGACCATATTTTTTGGGACTTATTCCATACCTTGTAATAGGTTTTATTTTATTTTTTAATCCTTTATAACATTAGTGCCCACGAAACACAAATGTAGAAAAATATTTTTTTCTATCAACTGTAATTCTGTTGAAACAGAGGCACAAAATTTAATTTTATGGAATATATTAACCACTCAGTGTTACTCAGCTAAACATGGCTGTAGCACAACAAACCCCAGAAATGTGCAATACTAATTCAACCCAGTAGTCCTATATTTTGCCAGCTTTCAGTCATTAAAAAAAAAAACATAATTTTCGTATCTATATATATAAACATGGGTGTGTAAAATATATTTTTCAAGCCCGGGTCTTCCCACCCACTTTAATATTTAATCAAATGATCCAGCACAGTATGATCATGCTTATCAAACAAGCAAGCAAATAAACCGAAGAACCACACCAAACATACAGACAACTCCATATGAAATCATTGGAACATTCTAGAACCAACAATCCCAGAAATGGCTGTTAGTATTCTAGGAGTATCAATAGGTGAAGGGCAGTGTAATGCAGTTTGAAAACTACAAAGGTGTGCTATTATAACGTTGCTAAGAAATTCTTATTCTTGTAACCATCATTTCTCTTGACCCTGTCGACATTGTTCATTTTCATGATTTTGCATATATTCCACGTGTCGCTCTGCAGCACCTGGCCCCTGAAACCTGCTCCCACTCTCTGCAGGGGTATCCCTGCGGAGCCCACAGCTGCGCGAGGTTGACAGTATAAACCAAGGAAGCATCCCGCAACAGCCGCCTCGCCAACAGGGGGCGCGCCTCCCTCAGCAGAATGCAGGGATGCCCTAGCCCGGGCTCCCGGCCCCGCCTCCACTTCAGCCCCGCCCTCGCCGCCGAGCCGCGTCCCGGTCCGCGCCCCTCCCCCCGCGCGGGTCGTCTCGGTAGCGCTGCGACGGCGGCGGCGGTATGGAGGGCGAGAGCACTTCGGCGGTGCTCTCCGGCTTTGTGCTCGGCGCGCTCTCCTTCCAGCACCTCAACACCGACTCGGACACGGTGAGCCGGGCGCGCAGCCTCCCTCCCTCACCGCGGCCGATCCCCGCCCGGGGACTCTCCCTACGCCGCCGGGCCGCCTCTTCCCTCGCGGTCCAGGAGGTGCCTCCTGCCCGACGAGCCTTTCCCAAGAGTAGCCCTCCCAGGCCTAACCCCTGCTCCCCTTCCCCGGCCCGAATGCCCCACACGCCTCAGTCTCATTCATCAGTCTCCCTTTTTCCTGGCCAAACTTGGGCGCGAACGGATAGAAAGTTCATCTCGTGCTCCGCTACCGCTGGGGAGGCAGCAGGTTAACTTTCCGTTTCGCCCGACTACCCGTGATCGATTGCAAAGACAACCGCGGACTTTTTCATGCCGGGCAGCTCCTATGGTAGGAAGGTGAAGGAGTAAAAATAGGTGTTGCATCCAGTGTCTGTTTTTCAGTAAATCCTAGTGAATGAAAAAAACCTTAATTTGATGTATCAGATACCTGATTTGTTTGCACGTGCCATCAAGTTTCTTAAAATTATTAAGGCTTCTATTTACTTTTCTGATACTTTTGGTTATAACTTAACCACAAATTTCCCCAAAATATTAAACATTTAAACGTTTTGCCTAGCTTCAAAACCACTGGATGAAATTAAAAAGTGAAGTTTTTAAAAATATAGTGCCTATTTTCTAAAAATTTATTAAATGAACAAGTCACAGTAAAATTCTTGTAAATTATGGTACCTTCTTGTCAGACAGCGGTTTCTCAGATCTTTTAACTAAATTCTTTAAATGGTGGTTTTTTTAAAGATAGACTTAAGTTATCCTTGCTGCACGTTTCTTAGTTTTTGTTTCCGAAGTACCAAAGTCAAGAACACTGGAGTGTACAGTTCTGGGTTTTTTTTCACCTTGATTCAAGTGAAAACATTGTAGAAACATTCCTTTAGCGCTTTTTATCCTTTGATGAAATGGGGGGGGGGGAGGTATTATTAACCAGTTTTTAAAAAGGTAAAATTTCATTTCCAAGCACACTAGGTCTATTTTTGGTACTGGGGTTTCAACTGAGGGGTGGTTTACCACTGTGCAACATCCCTCAGCCCTTTTTATTTTTTGAGAGAGTGTCTCAAGTTAAGTTGCTGAGGCTGAATTTAAGATTCTCCTACCTTACCCTCCAGAGCTGCTGGGTCACCCTGCCTGGCCACACTTGGTCTTTAAATGCACCTAAAGGAATATCCGAATACTCTGAATCAGGACAAATTCACTGCTGTGAGGATATACCTGTAGTTTCACAAGGAATCAGGCCTACAGGACCCCTTTTAGAAATCAGACTCAAATTGAATTCCAAACTCTTTAATCTTTCATATTTTGTACATTCTTCCCCATTTTGTACAATTTTAAATCTGAAAACACTTTCATTGTGTCATAGTTTAGAAACCTCCATTGACTCCTAGAAGCACTTGTTAAATCCAGAATCCCTGGCTAGTCATAGGGGATGTTTTATTATTGGCTCCACTTAAGTTTGCCTTTGTTCTACTAGTGTGTGCTTATTTTTGGCTTTAAGCCTTTTATGCTTTCAGGTATGCTAAGTGCTTCAAGCTCTGCCTACACAAATTATCAACTTCATTCTCACCTCTTCCACAGGGCCTTCTCCAGTTATTTTCGTCTATGTTAATCTCTTTCCCCTTTATAAAATCACAGTGCTGTTTATAATCTCTTCTCATTTTTTTCTTCTAATTCCTATTTAACTGGTCATGTTTTCCAATTAAACTGGAAGCACCTTAGGTTTTTATGTGTCCCCTAGTAGCACACATGTATACACTGTAAAATACTGGGAAATATGAATTATTTAAGAGACTGGACAGTAATTCTATCAATGTATTCCAAATTCTACTTCTTTTTATTTTATAGGAAGGTTTTCTCCTTGGGGAAGTAAAAGGTGAAGCCAAGAATAGCATTACTGACTCCCAGATGGATGATGTTGAAGTTGTTTATACAATTGGTGAGTTACATACTTCTATTTTTGATAGTTTATGATGAAAGGGATCAGCATAAGTTATTACTTTTAAATTGTTAAGGAAAATACACTGATTTTTAAAAGCAGAATTTTTAAAATACATTGCACTCATTTTCAATTAAAATTATGTCCATGGACTGAAACACTGTGAAATATAGGAAGCAAATAAAATTGCTGCAGGGAAACTAAGAGGAAACAGCTGCTGTTTCCTAAAGGAAAAAAAAGATAAGGGAGCTTTAAAATATATAGGAAGTCTTCTGATTACCTAACATATACAGTTTTTAATAAGGAGATGTGTGTGGGGGTGTGTGTGTATACATTTTTTTCTTTTACTAAGTTACTTAGTTAGGGCCTCCATGAGTTGCTAAGGCTGGCTTTGAACTTGTCATCATCTTGCTTCAGCCTCCTGAGCTGCTAGGATTACAGGCATGTGCCACTGTGCCTAGTAGGATATATATTTCTTTTTTAAAACAAAATAGTATTGTACTTTATAACAGGTTTGACATCATGACATATTTTGTCATGACTGATTTCTCTATAATATCATTTTTCATAACTGCAATATTTTCCACTATGACCTTTCTGTGATTTAAGCAGAGCTTTAAATAAATTATAATCAGCTATTTCCATTTTTTATTATAGATTACACTACAATGAATATTCTTGTACATAAACATTTGACTTTATTATCAATTCCTAGATATTATTATGCTGTTACAGGGTAAAAAACTTTTTTTTTTTTTTAATGGCATGAGGATTTTGCTCTGGTGTCTAGGCTGGCCTCAAATTACTGGACTCTAGTCATCCTCCTGCTTCAACTGGGACTGCTTGACAAGCTGATATAATTTGCCTTGTATATAACTTTTCATCTTCCTCATGGTTATAACTATCCCATTGTGTGGACACAGCATCACTTTTAACTACTATGAATAAGTTTCTGTTTATTAATACAATATTACAGTGAATATTTTATATATCTTTGTGCCCTTGTCTCTCTGAAAACCAAATTCATATAGGTAGACTAGCTAATAGTACTTTGGAAAATTTACTGCATTTTAGACTCCTCCGAAGTCTATAATAATGCCTGTCTCTCCATATTCAGGCCAACAGGAAATATTATAAGTTATTTTAATCTTTGCCAATTTGATAAATTTTTTTTTAGAAGTTAAGGTACCTTTTTTAGAAATATTTTTTAGTTGTCAATGGAACTTTATTTTGTTTATTTATATGTGATGCTAAGAATCAAACCTCTAGTGCCTTACACATTCTAGGCAAGCGCTCTACTACTGAGCCATAACTCTAGCCCCAATCTGATAAATTTTTTAAAAAGTAGTTTGCAACTTTTTTTGTGTGTGTGTGTGTGTTGCTGGACATAGAACCCAAAACCTAGAGCGCTGAGCTACTGTTAATTTGTATTTCTTGAGTACAAAAGAAGTTAAATATTCCTGGTTTTTACTTTTTTTTTTTTTTTTAGCCTTTGAAAAACACAGACCTGTTCTATTCTTTGACTCTATTTCTACTGGCTATGTTACTTTAATTGATTTGTATAACATTTTAATAATGGCCTTTTGTCATGTGCTATACACATGTTTATATAGGTTGTTATTTTGTTTCGTGCTGGGGATTGAACCTTAGGCATACTAAGTATACACTTCCCACTGAGCAAACCACCAGCCCAAGCAGTCTGTCATTTAACTTTGTTGATTTTTTTCTTTTTGCTAGTCAGACACTTGGAGCTTTAAAAGCAAGATTTAGAGCATTTTTCCCCTAACTGGAATTAGAATGCCACCCAAAGAATCTAACACATTTAGAAAAATTTAATTAAGCAAACATTTCTTGACCAACTACACTGTGTACACAGGTACTTTGCTAAGCTTTAACGTATTTGGTCAAATCATTTTAAAAGATTACTTTAACACAGATGGAGAATAGATGAAAATCCAAGATAGACAAATTACTGCCTCACACTGGTCATAAGATGTTCATCATTTTTACACTTTTCTTTCTTAGTTTAACATTGCTATTGACAGAATAAAATTTGCCTCTTAAAAGATATTAGGGTCTGTTTTTGTTTTCTTTAGTTTGTAGCTAACACAGACAAAAGTTTTATGAAATAACTACTTAAAACAAGATATTTCTATTTGACAGATATTTCTAACAGTTGGGTAAATTTAGAGCATAACCTTTTTAGTACACAATGAAAATATTGCAATTTTCAACTTATATTTTGTACTGTATTTATTTAATCATTATTTGAGGGAATATGGTATTGTGGTTCTCAGGGAAACTCTAGGTTTGAATTTTGGCTCTATCACTGGCTTGGGGAACCACTTCATCTCTCTCTCTCTTTTTTTTTTTTTTTTTTTTGGTCCTGGGGATTGAACCTAGGAGAGGTAAAACCTAGTTTTACCACTATACCTCCCCAGTTCCACCCCCATTTTTTAATTTTGAGACAATATGTCAATAAGTTGCTGAGGCTGGTCGATTTGCAATCCTCTTACCTCAGCCTCCACAGTTGCTGGGAATACAGGTGTGCACCACCATGCTCAGCCTATTCCATCATTTTTGAAAGGGAAAGAATGATGGCATCTGACTTGTGAAGATTAAATGAGATAATAATACTAAGTACTTCCTGGCATGAAGTAAATGCTTGGAAGTGATTATTTAATTAATCATAACCAAAAATTCGGTATAATTGTGCTAAGAGTAATTTGGATTTCCCTCATTATACAACCCATTTATTCATCCCTTTTTCCCCCTAGACATTCAGAAATATATTCCATGCTACCGGCTTTTTAGGTGAGTAATAGTACTAGTAAGAGCAAGTAAACCATACATTGCGAAAGTTAATTCTCTGCAAGTGAAATAAGTTTTAAAACTAATGTAGTATTTTAGTTACCAATTATACTATGAAGGTTTTGTTGCTGTTGTGTTAATACCTGAAAATTCACTTGTGCATTGTCACCCCTGTTTATAGTTCTTTCTCTATTATATTACTGACTTTAGCTGGTCTCTGCTGCCTCTTGCAAGTACCAGTTTACCTTGACAATTGCTTTTCCATCTCACAACCAGTCACCTTTTTGCAACTTCATTGCATATTATAAGCTCACTCACTGGCATGTTCTTGTAAATTGATGGCAGACTTTCTTTTTAACCCTTTGATTCTAGTTTATTTTAGCAACTGTTTCCTCATTGATATTTTTTAGTGTTATATTATTTATCTAACCTGTTTCCTGTTGCTTTTTTAGGGTGAAAGCTTGTGCTTTTAGTCCTGCAGATAATAATAGAACCATTAACTCTAATATACTGTATTTTTTTTAAAAAAAAAACTTAGTGAGGTATAACATACACATGGAAAAGTAGAAAATAAATGAACTTTCACAAAGAAAACACATGTAACCATAATTTTAATGTAGTAGCTTTACGATTTACTTAAACTACATGAGAGGAAGCATTATTATTGTATAGTTACACTGTCTACATACACATCTCTAAGAATGTGTAAAATTTACAGTAGAGTTCATGGCTAAAGTAAGAAAGATCTATGCCAGGGGTGTGGCAGAAAAAGGGGCTAAGTGTGATCTTAAAAACCGACATACCAGAGATAGGGATATAGCTTAGTTGGTAGAATGCTTGCCTCACATGCACAATGCCCTGGGTTCAATCCCCAGCACCACAGGAGAAAAAAAAAAAAAAAAAAAACACTGATATACCAGGAAAAAGTTACCTTATGAAGTGCTTTTATGTACAATTGACATTCAAAATATCTGTTGATTAAATGAGAAAGGACTTCTTTAAGGAACCCAATGGACCAGTAAAGAGAGAGAGTAAAAAAGTAATTCAGTTTCATTTGGCAGCGCTATTATCATCAGACCAACTGAGCTGAAGAAACCATCTAATCCAGTAATGCCTGAACCTTTTTGCAGCTAACAAAATTAAGGGACGGGTGCATAGGAGAGCCATTTGAAATACTTGTTCCTCAAAAGATTTTATACATGTCATTTTCATTTAAAAACAAAGAGGCATAAAAAGTTCACGGTTTAATGAAGGCCAAAGAACTAATTAATTGTAGAGTAAAAACTAAAAGAAACAGGAACAGGGTTATTTCTTCTTCTTCTTTTTTTTTTTTTTTTCATTGCTGGGGATGAAACCCAAGGTTTGTGCATGCTAGACAAGTGCTCTACCACTGAGCTACATCCCCAGGCCTTTTTATTTCTTGAGACCAAGTCTCCCTAAGATGTCAGGCTGGCCTTGAACTTGTGAGCCTCCTGCTTCAGCTTCCTGTATTGCTGAGATTACAGGCATGTGCCACACTATCTGGCTTATTAAAATAGTTTTTTTGTTTGTTTGTTTTTGGTGTGAGGGAGTTGTTGTTTGTTTTTTGGTACTAGGAACTGAACTCGGGCACTCAACCATTAAGCCACATCTCAAACCCTATTTTGTATTTTATTTAGAGACAGGGTCTCGCTGAGTTGCTTAGTGCCTCACTTTTGCTGAGGCTGGCATTGAAATCATGATCCTTCTGCCTCAGCCTCCCAAGCCACTGGGATTACAGCGTGCACCACCGTGCCTGACTTAAAATGTTTTTAATGGGAAAATTTTCAATTCTTTTAAAAACATATTGCCTATTAAGTTACATTTTTTCCAGCTTTCTGTAACTGAACATTTTCAGTGTATGCTTTGGAAGTGCCCAATAAAAGCCTGTTGTAATTAATATTATTTATATAGGATTTTGTATAACATTTTATCATCATAGAAAATATTGTTGATCTCAATGCTAAAAGGAAGGAAATAATTTGCGATCTCATAGGAAGGGAAAGAAAGTTGGAAGCAAATGTTTTAGAATCCTAAATTTAGGATTATCTTCTGATTCTTCCTTCATCTTGGACAGTCCAATTACATAATAAAGACCACTGAACTTAACCAAAATCTATTCCTTTCCCCCACCTCTCCCAAAAACCCAACCATGTCCTAAAACAATAATTGAAATCAGCAATAAATTGTTCTTTTGTTAATGTGCTTCAATGCTCAGTATGCATTCTTTTATACATATCAATAACTGTAAAACAATTAATAAGTAAAACCAAATTAATTGTGAACTGGCTATATGAACTATCTAATACCTATATTTAATGGATAGTTTGTTTCATTTTAGGTTAATAAAATACATGATGTGCAAACTTATCTCTTGAAAGTTTCTCCACTCCTTTTCTTTTCACTGCTTATGGACCTTATGTTTCTATCATTTTAAGTCTGTTAATTTGTGAATTTTCTCTACTATTTACTTTAGGACTTCCATCTGACAGGCAAGTAGGTATTGATTTTGGTTGGGTAGTTTGAGTTAAGAGTAACTAAAATTTAAAAAGTTAATAAAAGTATCCAACTTCTACCTTATTTGAAATATCTTTGTGACTTTTACAGCTTTTATAATTCTTCAGGTGAAGTAAATGAGCATGCACTGAAGAAAATATTTTCAAGTGTCAAAAAGGTATTCATGGTTTACCTTTTATTTTTGGTATTATATGCATTATTTTCAGCTCTTGAAAACAGTATTTTGACACAATTTTAAGCAATATTTGTCTTCACAGTATCCAGTAAAGCAGATAAGAAAAGGCTTGCTCTTCCCAAAAATTCAGAGAAGTTGCTTTGAATACAAAACTAATAGTTTTTATCTTGTTCCCATCCTTCCCTTGACTACTCTAATTAACACTTAATACTGATTTCTTCTCTTCTAGTATGATTTATTCTAGGACTTAATCCATTTCTGTTATTTTATTTAGCTGTGGTTCTTTTTTTTTTTTTTTTTTTTTTTTTTTTTTAAATACAGGGTACAGGGTCTTGCTGTGTTTCCCAGGTTGGTCTCAAATCCTTGGGCTCAAGTGATCCTCCAGACTCAGCCTCCCAAGTAGCTGTGACTTCAGGCACTTGCCAGTACACCTAGCTTTGCAGTTAACTATTTTTATACCACAGGGACAACTTCCTATAGAGCACTTAATTTGAATTCTCCACAGCTTGCTTCAGGTTCAGTTAAAAGTTGTTAGACAGTCAAAATGGATTATTTTTCCCCAATGCAAAATTTTCTCAAGTTAATAATTTTCCCCCTTAAAGTTTGTATCTTTGACTGGAGAAGAAAAACAGAAGTATCATTCAAAAAGCATCCTTAGTTGAAAATGCTTGGGCTTTTTTCACAGTTACATTTGAGTATTTAAAAAAAATGTCCCTGCAAAAATGTTTTAGGTTTAAAAAAACAGAAGCAATTTTAATTTCAGTTTAAAAGTACAAATGTCAAATTTAGTTGTTGAAACTGTCACAGATTTCTATGAATCATGGTGGTTATTTTTCTCTTTGTTCCGATTACTAAGTTTTCAGTAAATCAATTATTTTTCTGATTAAAAAATGACTTAGTGATACTAACAACACATTTGTTTAGCATGTTACATTTATAAAACTCGACTCAGTCATCTTGAATTTAACTTTTGGGGCTATGTGGTAATCATTCCCGTTTAAATTTCAGGTAGAAGCTAAGGAATCAACTAAGCTTATTTAATAAACTAAATATTCAATACAGATAACTAACTGTTTTGAGGGGAGTGACTATCCATTAAGTGAAACAATGGCATTAATATTTTTCATATGTATTTACTAAAGATTAAGATTGCACAGGCCTGGGGTTGTGGCTCAGTGGTAAAGCACTTGCCTGGCATGTGTGAGACCCTGGGTTCTATCCTCAGCACCACATATAAATAAATAAATTATTACTTTGCAAAGGTAAATCATATAACAAAGTGAATTCTTTGTTTATCTGTGACTCAAATCTTACTATTAAGAAAGTTATTTTAAAAGCCTGGCAAGGTGGTGCATGCCTATAATTCCAGCTCTAGGGAGACTGAGGTAGGAAGATCACAAGTGAGGCCAATTTGGGGCAACTTAGCAAGACCATGTCTTAGAACTAAAAGGACTGGGGACATATAGCTCAATGGTAGAACACTTGCCTACCATGTATGAAGCCCTGGGTTAAAACACTAGTATCGAAAAAACAAAGTCCATTATAAGACTCAGTTTTATTGCTAAATTATATTAAGACATGCAATAATAATTATAATCATTAAGATATGTATTTAATTTTTTCTGTTATTTTTTTTCAGACTGTGGTAGGTTGGTACAAATTCCGTCGACATTCAGATCAGATCATGACATTTAGAGAGAGACTGCTTCACAAAAATTTACAGAAGCATCTTTCAAGCCAAGAACTTGTTTTTCTGCTGTTAACACCAAGTATAATAACGGAAAGCTGTTCTACTCATCGGCTGGAACATGCTTTATATAAACCTCAAAAAGGGTAAATGTTAGTTGGTCATTGGCTATTTTAAGCTAATAGGGAAAAAAACTAATATTTTTATAGTACTTTTGGCAATTTATAAAGTTTTCATACAGTGTTGTATTACATTGTCACAACAACTCTCTGAAGTGATCTTACCCATCTGTTAATTACAGGTGAGAAAATGAAAGTCAAATAAGGAAATCAGAAATTAAGTGCAGAATGATGAATTGCTGTTATTTACTATGTGAGGTAGAAAAATAATTTTTGTAGATATTGGTTAATTAGGATATCATGTAGAACTTAAGCCTGGGTACTTGTGCAGCTTTTTTGTAACCTTCTTCAAAGAAGCAAGGTAGTTTTTGATGGTCTACCAAAACGAGTCTAACAGGAACTCCCCTTCATTCTATAAACATTTGCATTGAACATAAGAATTAGGTTAAAGAGTACCAATTAAGATAAAATTTATTGTTCATGGAAGATAAGATAAATCTCAGACTTAATACCAATACCGTAAGGTTATCTGAAATGCTTGGGACCACATTGGACTAAACATGTATCAGATTTTGAAATATTTGCAAATATCTAGGAAATGAGACTGAAGTCTAAACACAAAATTCATTTATACCTTATACATAGTCTGAAGATGATTTTATACAGTATTTTTTATGCCCCTGTGTTTTGAGTGGGACCTGAGGGGAAGTATATAATTTCCCTTGTGGAAGGTTTCATATAGGGATTTCATATTTTGGATAAGGGATGCTCAACTCATACTGCCCCCACCCACCCACACTTTTTTAAATTGCAATGCTGGAGTTTGAACCCATGGCTTCATGCATGCTAAGCAAGCACTCTACAGCAGGCTACATACCCAGCCAAATTTTCTTTCTTCTTTTTGTGGTGGTACTAGGATATTAAGAGATTGAGTCTAGGGGTGCTATCACTAATGTACATCCTTAACCATTTTGATTTTTGTTTGTTTGTTTTTGGTACCAAAGATTAAAGCCAAGGGCACTTAACCAACTGAGCCACATTCCCCAGCCCTTTTTATTTTTTATTTTGAGGCAAAGTCTCACTAGGTTGCTTAGAACCTCACTAAGTTTTTGAGGCTGGCTTCAAACTTGAAATCCTCCTACCTCAGCTTCCAAACTGCTGGGATTATAGGTGTACACCACCACACCCAGGTCCTGTTGATTTTTTTTTTTTTTTTGAGACAGGATATTGCTAAGTGGCCAAGACAAATACTATTTTTTTCACAAAATTTTCTTATACCATATTCATTTCACAGCTTTTAAAAACGGGTGGCTTTGTGTTGCTCAAATAAGTAAATTCTATCTTGGTAAACAGTAAGGAATGGGGGGGCGCTGTTTAATCTTGTAGAGGTAGTCTATTGTGATGTGTACATGCTATTTTTTCTCTTTATATTTTAAAACTTATAAAATTTTATTTCATCAGACTGTTTTATAGGGTTCCTTTAGTGGTTGCCAATCTGGGCATGTCTGAACAGCTGGGTTATAAAACTGTATCAGGTTCCTGTATGTCCACTGGTTTTAGAAGAGCAGTAAAAACACACAGGTAAGATTCCTGAACTGTTTTTCCACTAAACCTACTCTTACTTATTTTTTGAAATTAGGTTTATTACACAAACAGAATAAAAATGAAAGGAAAACTGATAAAATGAATATATTACTCAAGAAAACTAGACTGTTTGGGCAGGGAAGGAGGGGTACCAGGAATTGAAACCAAGGGCACTCAGCCACTGAGCTACAACCCCAGCCCTATTTTGTATTTTATTTAGAAACAGGGTCTCAATGAGTTGCTTAGTGCTTCACCATTGCTGAGGCTGGCTTTGAACTCTCAATCCTCCTGTCTCAGCCTCCCAAGCCACTGGTATCACAGGCATGCACCACCGTGCCTGGTGAAAACTAGACTGTTTTATAGTCTCCAAGTTTCATTCTACTACTTGTCTATTTACACAAGTTATGTATATTTACCAGAGGAAATTGTAATTTTTCACAGCTCTGAATTTTTTAAAGAAGATGGATCTTTAAAGGAGGTACATAAGATAAATGAAATGTATGCTTCACTACAAGAAGAATTAAAGGTAAGTTAACTAACATTGAACATTTAAAGACCACTTCAGAGTTCATATCAAATAATCACTGAAATTTTTTATGGAAAACCTGACTTCAGATTTATATTATATTCCTTTACTCTAGTCATAAAGACTGTGATCTTAGTAGTGAATAACAGTTTAATCTTATCCACATTATATTATGGCTATAGTCATTCATTTTGGAGATGTCACCTTCATTCCAGATTCTATGCTGAAGAAACAGCCCTTATTTGGGACATGTTCTTGTGTTAAAAAGAAAAAAGCCAGAAGATTGGAAATTCACAACAGCCTTAAAATTTAGCTCAAAACTTCCATGCTATCACATATCAATGACCAAGGTTACATAATCCTTTTACAGGATGAACAGGGAAGCAAATATTTGGTAACAATGCAACTACCATAGCATTGCAGTCTATCTTATTATATCATGTACTTTGAGAGGTAGCATCAATATGGGAATGGAAGTGCAAGAATTTATTGAGCCTGTGAAAGATAAAGGAAAGGGATCAAGAAGAGCCTTCAGATTGCAATTTTGCAAAAATCTGAGAAAGAAGGGGATAGGACTACAGTTGGTTAGGTAGAACCTCAGATTACAGTGCCATTCTAAGAAAGTTCAGGTAGGCTGATGAGCAAAGTTGTTCAACAGGTATGGATTTGCACTGTTCTAGCACCTAGCTCAGTAACTGGCTGGAAACAGCTGTGGCTTAAGCCTAATCCAAAGCTGGTGATGTCCTTAACTATGCTTCCCCCAATTGGATATCTAAGTAATATATGTCCATGGATACCCTACTTGTCAATAGAGCATATTTAAGAGAAAAAGGGTTAGTATACTTTACATACCACTAATATTACATACTGTTTTTAATATGAGGGGGGAAAAAGCAGGAATTTTAGAAAGTAGAAACACCCAGATCTCATCATTTAACATAACTATTTTCACTTTGCTATAGTCTCTAGTTTTTCCCCTAATGTATACACACTTTGTAGTTGACAATCATGGCAACAAAAATGTATTCCGTAAGTTTAAAAAAAAAAAATTCCTATATCATTAAACATTTTTCATATAATATCATGCTAGATATTCTTTATTTTTAATACAGTATATGTACTTTTTAAATTGTCAGATTTATCATGTAAAACATGTTTTTATACACATTGTGGAATGGAGAAATTGATCTAAATAACAAATGTATTGCCTCACATAATTATTATTTTCATGGTGAGAACACTTAGTATTCACTCCACATTTTTTAAGAACACAATGTATTGTCGTTTACTATAGTCTCAAAGTTGTACAATGGATTTCTTTTTCTTTCTTTCCATTTTAGCAGTGCTGAGGATTGAATCCAGAGCCTCATGCATGCTAAGCAAGCACTTTACCACAAAGCCACATCCCCAGCCTTGTATAATAGATTTCTTGATCTTATTCATCCTACCTGCCTATGATAATTTTTTGCAATATGTCTCTGTCCCCATTTCCCTACAACCACTCCAGCCCTTGGTAATCACTTTTCTATGAAATCAACTTGCTAGCTGGGCATGGTAATACATTCCTAATAACTCCAGCAACTCAGGAGGCTGAGGGAAGAATCACAAGTTTAGACCAGCCAGACAACTTAGCAAGACTCTATCTCAAAATGTTCTAGGGATGAAAAAAATAAAGAGGAAGAATCTTGTCATTGGTGACAACATAATCAAGCTGACTTCTTTTTGTTTTTCTGGTGGTACTGAGGATTGGACCCGGGGTGCTCTACCACTGAGCTACATCTCCAGTCTTTTTAACACTCATTCTTTTTTTAAGGGTGAATAGTGTTCCATTGTGTATATATTACCACATTTTTTTATCCATTCATCAGTCAGTGGACATTTACATTGATTCCATGTCTTGACTATTTGAATCATGCTGGGTAGATATCCTAAAAGTATCTACTGAAACTGGCTTAACTTTTAGCCTATAATTAGAAGTTATATTAAGTTTGATATAATATGAACATGATCTTTATAAAGTTTTGTTGTATATTGAGATATACTCAGGAAGTGGAATTATTCATACTTTTAAAATTGATGATACACAGCCACTTGCTTTTCAAAAGTATTGTCTAATAAGAATTAAAAACTTTCAGTTTCCTTTCATAACATGGAAATAGTCATTTGTCTTTTTTTCAATTGTCAGTTTCTTAATGTTAAATGTGTGCAGGAACTTTGCATTTCAAAATTACATCAGTGAATTAAATATTCCAGTTTATTTCTATTATCAAGGAAATATTTGGTATGATAAATCGATCTCTTAATGAGAAGTTAATATATCCGAAAAGCATTTTATAACCTGTAAAGGACCATACAGAGTTATTATTAAAGTCCTCTAGAAAATAGCAAACTAAAATAAAATTTATAGGAAGTGTACCATATAGGGTTTTATATTACTTGTGAATCTAGACTGTTATTTCATGATTTGGTGTTTTACCTATGCTATTAAATTATTTTATTTTGCAGACTGTATGCAAAAAAGTGGAGCAAAGTGAACGAGAAGTAGAGAAATTAATAAAGGATGTAAACAGATTAAAACAAGAAATTAAAAAAAGGCAACAAGCACAGATTCAGGCAGCACGTAAGTAAAATGTTAACACATCACTACTTTCCTTGCATTTCTCATGATTGGTATTATGGATGGACCAACTGTGCTCACTGAAGAATATGTCCACTTTGGGATTAAAAGCAGTCATTTTTACTAATACTCTTAAATCTTACCAAAAAAAGGAACTAGTACTATAGTAGGTATGCTGTATTTGTTGATATTAAAGCATATAACTTAAAATTTAATTTTCTCCTAGAATATTATGGCATAAAAATAGGAATTTGGGATTATACATGTCATTATTCTCACTTTGAATGATTTGATAGAATTGTTGAAGTCTTTGACTCTTTTGACAAATAGCTAATTATAAAAGAACATGGAATTTTTATGGAATAAAAAATGTTGATCCTGTTATTTTCTTTTGTTTAGGAGAGAAGAATGTCCAAGAAGACCCTCAGGAGAACATTTTGCTTTGTCAAGCTTTACAGACCTTTTTTCCAGGCAGTGAATTTCTTCATTCTTGTGTTATCTCTTTGACCAATAGGCATATTTCTAAAAGTAGGTGTAACACCAACCACCATCTGGATATGGTAGACAACCTGACCTTAATGGTAGAGTATACCCATACTCCTGAAGCTAGCCCAGCTAGTACACCACCAACGACTAAGCGAAAAGCTATAGACATAGAGGACAGATGGAAAATGAAGAAATCACGATTGTTAAAGAGAGAACACAAACTATCTAAGACAGGTACTGATAGTAGTAACCAAGAAAAAGCGTCCACAACCAGTGGCACAGAAACAGATGAAGAGATTGAGAAAATGAAGGGTTCTGGTGAATATCCACTGTCTCCCACATTTTGATCCTTTTAACCCAAAATAAGACTTTTGATTTGGTCGAAGGGTAAAGACAAATGTTTATTATTTTTATTATATTCAGCTGTTCATAGTAATACATTGATAATGTATTTTGTTTTTACTATGTTCACCTTTTTTTACAGTACTACATAGATAAGTTCTACTGTATTTATTTTATAAAGTACTTCCAAATATATCAGATGCTTTTATTTATTTATATTTTTGTGGTGCTGGAGATTGAACCCAGGGCTTTGCACATATTAGGCAAGTGCTATACCACTGAGCTACACCCATAGCCAAGATGTCTTTATTGTAAAATCAAAACTTTTCATCTTGCTTTCACAACTGTTGAGGGAAAGGCCTTAAAAAGGCACATTCTTTTAAACTAGTATGGCTCTTAGAAATGGGAAAGAGACTATTTTTCACAACATGGGAAGAAGCATAAAATTTATATGAAAATTTATATAATCTTTATGTCATTAACCTTATGTAAGTCATTAAGATTTTAGTCCTTATGCAGTGATACAAAGTATATTATTAAACTGGACATGATGGTACACATGTGTAATCTTAGGTACTTGCTACTCTAAAGGCTGGGGTAGAAAGGTCACTTGTGCACAGAAGTTAGAGGCCATCCAGGGCAACGTAGCACTTAAAAGTGTCATGACAGGTACGGTGGCAGTGGTGCACACCTGTAATCCCAGTAGCTTGGGAGTCTGAGGCAGGAAAATGGCAAGTTCAAAGCCAGCCTGAGCAATTTAGGCCCTAAGAAACTTAGTGAGACCCTATCTGTAAATAAAATATAATAAAAGGGCTGGGGGTATGGCTCACTGGTTAAGCACTCCTGGGTTCAATCTCTAGGACAAAAAAAAAAAAGTGTTTATGTGCAGTTGTATTTATATGTCTTCCATCACATGAAGGCTTTACCACTGGACATCATACTGAATATACACTTTGAACTTTGTACTCCTATTGCTTTCTAGAGACATTACTAAATAGAAAAAAATATATAATCTAGTAACAGAAACTTGAATCTTCTGTGTTAACATGCATTAATTATTATGGGATGTTTATGAATCCACATCATAAATCAGGATGACTTGTGTAGATTTCTAGTGTTGTTTTAACTTAAATAACTGGTACTGTACACAAGCAGGAAGACAAGAATCAGTCTGAACCTTATTTGCAACACTGGAGTAAGAGAAGATGATTGGCAGTAGATTTATGCATTTGTCATCCCTTTATGTAAAGAATACTATCAGTTTAAGGATAGATTCATCCAGGAATAAATGTTTTGTCTTTCTGAGACAGCCCAGTGTACATCTCTGCAACGAGAAGAGCCGCCCTCCTAACCAGGCACACTTACATTTGATAATTAGAAAATGATTTCAAGCATTTAAGACTTCATGGGATCCAAACATTACATAAGAACTACACTTTGCTGCACCCATTTCCCTAAAGTCATCCCATCTGTAACAGAATCTGACCCAAAGTAGTATTCCAACACAAGCCATCCCTCCCATATTTCCTATTCCTATTAGTGGTTCATTACTTTATGAATGAACTACTGGGGACATAAGTGACAATCAGACAGGACCACTTTTATTCAAGGTACGTACCATTTAATTTAATGAGTATTAACATTTTAAGTAAGCAACCTATTCTGTGAATAGTCATATAAAGGAGATGCTTCAACTCCTGATCTCTTGAAACACTTTTCTTCGCAAAGGTTAGTTTGAGTCAATAGAGGTCAATTTATTATAAAATAAGTTTATTGTTAATAACGTTATATCATTTATTCCCGATATTTGATGTTACAAACTTTAGGGTCTTTGAGATATGCAGGATCCTTGTATGTAACTGGCATAAACCCTGTAAAGAGATATTAAAGTTCTTCACAAAAAATAATGAGCAAACTTTTTACTAATTCAGTTGTTCAAGGCACACTTACCCATTATTTGAGCTCTCTTAATAGCTTTTGTAATTTCTTTCTGTTTCTTCCCACAAAGACCTATAAAAATTTTAAAAGTGCTGTTTTGTTCATAAAAATGCCAGTAGTCAAACTATAACAACTTTTAAGTCAAAGGTCAGATTTTCTTTTTTTTTTCTGTAAAGGACCAGAATATTAATATTTTGGCCTTTGGGGCTACAGTCTCCATTCACAATTACTCTACTCTGCTGTTGTAACTACAAAGCAACCATGTGGCACTATGTAAATAAAACTACAAAAACAAGAGGCAGATTGGATCTAGTCTTCGATCACCAAGTTTTAGTTTAGAATGTCTGAAGTATAATTCACAACAAAAGGTACAATTTTTTTAAGCCCAAGTTTTTCACGTGGCCAATGTATAATTAACCCTGACGACAACAGAGTGTTTTCCCTTAAGTACCTAAATCCAGTGTGGTCTAACAATGTAGTATCTGGTCTAATAGTGATTTATAACATGATCTGAAAATTTGCCAGTTTTCTTAAGTGACAGAGATAGATATAATTCTTATTTAAATGGTTATGATTAAAAAATAAATACCTGTTATATGTCTTCCATAAATGCATCCAGTAAATGGAGAAATAAATTGGGACAGAAGCTGTGTTTGGAGTTTTATGTGGATGGAAAAAAATTTATATTAATACATTGTTATTCAACCCTGAATGTAGATTTCAAGGAAAAAAATCCATATACATGACTTTCAAGTAATATAAAGATCTAATAAGTTTTAGACAAATTTTAATTGAGATACTATCATATTAACAAGTCATCTTTCTAAATACTGAAAGTTAACATCTAATCCAGCATATCAAAAAGTCTATATAGCAATAACATTAATTAGCATATTCAGCCAATGCTAAAGCGGTATTGATAAACCACAGATATCCTTCTAAAATACTGCGCTTATAACAAGTTACCAAAACATTTCATCTATCATTATAAGCTATTACATACTCATGAAGATAAATTATCAGACTGAACTGGGATCTTCAAGAGGTACACACATTGGGCCATTTTCTACAACTTATGTTCTATTAACTTAAATACTGTTCACATTGTAGGTGCCAGACACTGTTCTTAGCACTTTGCATAATCTTCCTCCTATATTGTATTCTAATAATTTCTTCCCTCAAAGACGGTTACAATTTATATTACCATCAGTACACTTAACTCCAGCACCATTCACTCCCCCTAAATTTGACGCTTCTAATTTACTGAGAGTAAACAAGACAGCATTTGAAGCAGTGACAGGGATAGTGAGGTACAAAGATCAGCTTCACCAGAGGAACTTTCTTCCAAAGTATTTACACCTACCAAATGAGAATCACTGCTATGAAGAACTATATTATCCAAACCTTTGGAGCATAGAAAATAGAGAAATTCTGAGCTAAAATAATAGTAAATAATTGAAGTTGAATAAAGATACCTTACAAATATAATTATAACCAGATTTGAAATTATGAAGTTACTAAAATAGTTGCCTCTACATAAAACCTGCTATAAAACTGATTAATAACAAAAGTGCAAAAATCTAAAAATTAAGTATCAAAGTAAAACCAGATCTCACCTGTACATTTTTATAATCTACACGTTTCTCACACAAGATACATTTCTTAAGAGGCTCCTTATAAGGATTTTCCATTGGAACAGGCTAGGATAAAGAAAGAAATCTCATGACATAATGTGATCTGGATTTAAAAAAAATATATTAAATTTAACAAATGTAAATCCATTCAAAGGCACACAGTAAATTTCTTCCTGTGTACATATTTTGCACAAGCACTTTATTTAGTGTCAATTTGGCTTAAGAAGGAATTAACTCATGAAGATTCTGGAATAAAATATAAACTTTTTTTTAGAAAAGAGTTTATAGGAGAAACAATGCAAGTCTGGTAAAAAAGTGATTTTATGTTCAAATGCTTTTTCCAATTATAGATGTTTAAACATTTTTAATTTAAATTCAATAAACTTCTTTAAGATAAACTTAAAGCAGAATAGATGACATGCTATTCCTATGTTAATATAATCATTAAATAGTTTATTCATCCCCTTATTATGCTTTATCTATAGCCCCAAACTGTTCTATAAGTTAGTGTTAGCCTTTTTGACTTCTCTGTCTTCACTACTGTCTCTGATGCTTCTGTTACGCCTTCCTCCTACTGTCACAATGTTTTGTCTCCAGTATGGAGGTGCTTAATCTAGAAATGTTTTTGGAGTCTACAATCCCCTGAAATTGTATGCAAAATTTTAAATGAATATGACCATGTCCCTTTTTCTGTAGAGAGGATCTATATCTTTCATTAGTCTCAGTGGGGTATATGGCCTAAAAAGGGAGTAAACTTCCTTTATTCTCTTAAAGTATGGTGTGTGGATTAAATGACCAAGATAGATGCACAGAGGGAATAGATAAGTGCTTTTCTTTTTTCCCCATTTCTCAAACTTTGTTAGTCTGATTTATATTCCACTCACATATAAAAACTATATTCCTTCTCAACACTGGCTAAGTGCTTTGTATGGGATGATTAGTGTCAAACAAATTACTTTTGCATGTAGTAAGGAAACCTATGCTGCCCAAGTCCATGATAGTACTTCAAACCCACAAAAATATAGGTTAGAGGAAACTATTAAATGTCCTGGTGTAAAACTTTAATTTTGATGCCACATTTATTAAGGCAGAATACCAAAAGTGACTATTGAAATAAAGGTAGGACAATCCCTTTGTTCAATTATATACAATTATTCTATTCACCTAAACTACCTTTTGAAATTCCCAAATAACATCATCTTACGTTTAATATCTAGGAAGAAAATATGGCAAGAAGCTATGCTTCTAACAAGAGTCTAGGAATTCTCTTACTTCGAAACTCACCTAGGAAACTATAATCAATGAGTTATAAGTTCCAAACTCAGAGTAATGATAATTATGTTATCCTACAGCTGAACTCCAATTAGTTATAAAAATTTGGTCATATTTGCAAGTGCTTTACTAACATAAAGAAAAAAATTCTTACCAGGTCCTCATTGCTGGTTCCCTGTTTATATTGTGAACAACCTCTTCTCCACAGCACTGCAATTAAACAGAAACAGTAATAAACAGTTCCTTTTTGTTAGCTGAGTAGCTAATAAGGATTTTTGTATTAGCTCAGTGCCGTGAGTGTCTGTAATCCCAGTTACTATAGAGCCTGAGGCAGGAGACTCAAAAGTTCAAGGCCAGTCTGGGCAACTTGGACCTTGTGGCAAAATAAAATTTCAAAAGGATTGGACAAGTACTTCAGTGACAGGATGCTTGCCTAGCTTGAGGGAGGTCCTGGGTTGACCTCCAGTATCACACACACCAAAAAAAGATGTATGGAGGTAAGACTAATCAAGGGACAAAACATAAAGGTTTTATAGTCTTTAAATTTGGGTCAGAATAAGACATAAAACGTGATTCCCAAGGCTTTGAGGATAGGGCATATATTTTCCTCCATAAAACCTTTCACCTGCTGTCTTCCTGACATTTACTCTTTTATTCCACAGTTACAGACAGATTTTAACACTAATACGTATAGAACCAAAAGAAAGGCACTGTTATACCAAAGGGAAAATGAAAAATGGATTCTTTGCAGACAGTAATTATTGACAGAGAAGATAAACTTGCATAAATTATATATTCGAGGACCTATGTCACAATTCCGCTCTGATCTGGGACCTTAGACCTCTGAAGTTCGTTGTTGGGTGACTGGAAATGTTCCTTTCTCCCCAAGTTTATACGTAAAATCTTAGGCAGGGCCCTCCCCTCGGTACAGAGGATTGAACCCTGGGGCTCTCTACTACTGGACTAGATCCCCACTTTTTTTTTTTTTTTTTTAACAGCAATTTATCGCTAAGTTGAGGAGACTGGACTTAGATTTGTGATCCTCCTGCCTTAGCTCCCTGAGTAAATGATTACAGGCCTGCACCACCGGGTCAACGCCCTTTTTACAGAATTATTCCACCCATCACTTTCCTTTTATGTTCAAAAATTTTTAAGGAGTTGACTTAACATCTCACGGCCCCATCAGTTCTAAAGCAGCAGTTGTGGACATTACTGATTCCCATCCATTTCAGAAAAACGTTATCACCTAGAAATCAGCTTCGTTTTGTTAACAGTGATGAGTCCACCGACCAATAGGGCCAAAGCAATGGCTAAGGTGCTACAATGGAGACTTTACCCGCGCGAGTTCCGGGATTTGGGAGGCAGACAGTAGCCGTTATCCAATGTGTCAACTTCTTCCCTAAAGTACCGCAAGAAGCAATCACAGCTGCCATGGTTCCTCGTTATTCCTTTTCCTTTCCTTTTTCCAAGTCTTCCAAATAGGTCCCTTCCGGTAATCTTCCCTGTGGACTCGAGGACTTCATTCTAAGGTTCCGTAGGCGAACGCGGAAAAAAAACGCGAAAGGGGGTTTCTTAGTGCGCCTGCGCATCAGGTTTTGAATCCCGCACTCACCGCGCCAGAATCAAGTGACATTTGCGATTGGACCGAGAGGGCGGACGTCTAGTTTATCTTCCAGGTTCCGGTCCGAGAGCCCTGGGAATAAATTTAAGGTCTTTACGTAAGGTGGATGGAGACGCCAGCACTTTCTCCCTGTATCCACCTCCGCTCAGCCCTCCTTTCGAGGTTGGCGGCTGAGTCACTGTGGACAAAGTCGGGGCAGCGTTTTCGGACCCAGTCATGGAGGAAGGTTGTTCCCGCATCCGCCGGCGGGTGTCGGTCCGCAAAAGGAACCGCCCTAGCCTAGCAAGCACTTCTGCCATCCCCTCGGCGGCCCAGCTCCAGTCCCGCGATGAGCAGGAAGAAAAGGAAGAGGAGATGGTAGCCAGGAGCCGGCGGCGGAAAACCGTGGGCGTGCAACCTGTTGAGGTACAGCCCCATCAGCTCTCAAATTCCCCCGAGGGCCTTGTCCTCCTTATGACCTTTGGGGCGCTGATACAAACCTGGGCCTCCTACTTCGCTTGCCCACCTAAAGGGGTGAGAAACCAGATATAGGGGACGTGAAACTGCCAAATTGAGGCAGTTTCTAACCAAGTGCAGACAATTAACCAGTTAGATAAAATACCTTTCATTTCCTCCCTCACTTTTGTTACTGCTGTTGTAACTTATTTTGTTACTGCTGTTGTAACAATACTGAGGTATTGCCCAGTTATCCCCACTTCTATATAGACATGAAACGTAGATACAAAAATTTTACATCCAGCAATTAAGTGACATAACTGAGACGCAAACCCAGACTTCGAAATTCCTCCTGCCCCTACTTTACTAATAAAAGCTGTTTATTGAAGACCCATTATGCCCTAGTTACTGTGTTAAACAAGCTACATTATCTAGATTTTACAACAGTAATCAGACCCTAAGAAATTGAGAAACTACTTTCTCACTTCAAATTCTGTGTCGCTACACTCTTGCTGTCTCAAAGTGTCTCTTCTGTTCAATAGAGTTCCCCAAGTCAGTTTACACGCATTCTGTTATCAATTCCAAATTCAAGAGAATTTCTCTGTAGTATATTGTGGTACAATTCTTTGTTATAGGCCAGTCACTGCCTCAGAGCCCGGGATTGGAAGGGAGAGATGCAATTCCTAGAGGCTGTCATTCTTGCAGTTGTTTAACAATTTAGCACAGGTTTAAGCATTAGAATCCTAGGGGCATTAGAGAGCCTGTGCCAGGCCATGGTTTCAATCCCCACCATCAAAAACCAAAGTAGCAGCCTAGTGTTGCGTCCAGGAGCACTTCTCTGGGCCTCCATGTTTTTCATCTGTAAAATGGTAATAATTATATCTATTTATAGGGTGGCTTACAGGACTTAAATATAATTATGTACTTGATACAGCCCTAGGCTGAAAATGTTATTATTTGCTTTAGTAATGAATTTTATTTCATTCCATATTTTTTTAAATTTATTTTTTAGTTGTAATTTGACACAATTCCTTGATTTTATTTATTTTTATATGGTGCTGGGGATCAAACGCAGAGCCTCACACATGGTAGGCAAGCACTGTACTGCTAAGCCACAACCCCAGCCTTCATTCCACATTTTTTATTTATGCATTTTAGTTGTATTTAAGATGGGATTTGTTGTTGCACATTCGTACATGCACACAATATAACAGTATGATTTGGCCAATATCACTTCCCAACACTTTCCCACTCCCTCTTTACTTCCCACTCCTTAGGCCCTTTCCTCTATTGATCTTCCTTTGATTTTCATGAAATTCCCCCACCTACCCGGCCTTGTTTTCCTTTTTCCTCTGTAGTGAAACTTCTGTCAGTCATGAATCTGGAATTGCCTGTAAGTATTTTTGTTTTCTTTCCAGCATAATGACAGTGAAGAGGACATGTTTGGTGACTATGATAGCTTTACTGAAAACTCCTTTTTAGCTCAAGTTGATGATTTGGAACAGAAATACTTACAACTTTCTGAACAAAGGAAGCATGCTACAGACTTTGCCACTGAAGATTTTTGTTCAGAAAGCATAAAAAACAAACTCAGTGTTACTACTGTAAGCAACTTTACTGAATACAAAAGTGATGAGCACACGGAGAACCAGACTGAGCATGAAGATGTCCCTATTGAACCTGGAACTGATGTTTTGTATGATTTGCCTTCTTCTCAGGTTTTATACTTTGAAAATTTGCAGAACTCTTCAAATGATTTGGGTGATCAGTTGACTGAAAAAAGGGATGGGAGTTCATCCTTTCCCAATACTGTGAATGAAGAATTGTCCCATAATTGCATAAAACAACAAGAGCAAAATGATGGATCCTCTTCTAAAGTCAGAAGTAATTCAGATACAAGTAGGAGAAAAAGTATTAAAGATCATCTAAAAAGTACCATGACTGGAAATGCAAAGGCCCAAACACCAATATTTTCTAGGAGTAAACAGCTCAAAGAGACTGTCCTATCTGAAGAAATTAATGTTGCTAAGAAAACAATTGAGTCTTCATCAGATGATCTTGGTCCTTTTTACTCATTGCCCAGCAAAGTGAGAGACCTTTATGTTCAGTTCAAAGGAATTGAAAAATTATATGGTAATGCTTTTTTCTGGAATAAAAACAAAATTCTCCATTATCATAAAATTAGTGTAAATCAATAGAAGCAAATGCTTCCATGATTATATTTCTTATTTTGAAAGTCCAGTATTATTTGTCTCAACCTTCCATCCCTATCCTGTCACCTTGAACCTTTTTTCTTCCCTTCATACTCAAACATTTCTCAAACCGTTTTTTGTGCTTATTTTATTTTTCCTTATTTTGAATATTTCTTTGACCTACTCCAATTTGGGTTCTGTACTCTTGCCTGAGAAATGATGATTATGGTATCTAAACTCAGTGGTAATTCCAATATTTAACCTACCTGACTTCTTGGTAGCTTACCTGCAGATATTGACCACACTGTTCTTGAAAAATTTTTTTTGACACCCTGTTTCTGTTTTTTCTTTGATTATCTAGCTGTACACAGTTTTCTTAGCTGGCATTAGCTAGCTTTATTTTCTCTGCCAAATTTAGTTGAAATTTCTTTGAACATTCTCATGTCTTGAATGAGGAAGTTAATAATCCTATTGATTAAAATTAAGCATGTTAAAAGACAGTGGCGTTAATATTTAAGTGAAAAAAAACATTGTAGCAGAGTAATAATGTTTGATGTTTTTTTAAAAATCTGGGTCCTTTCATATCTTTTCAATGCATCATTTTAAACGAAGAAGGGATGGTTGCTGCCGTACTGAGAGATCAGTTCATCAGCCTATCACTGTATTAGTATTTCTGGAACTCCTGTTGGGATCTTAGGAGCTGTCTGAAAATGTGGGTTTTCAAGGAGAAGATAATCAGGTTGGAGAAGCAGGACTACAGGAAATAAAGTCTCTACAAGAGTAATATAATCATTGTAAATATTTGGGACTCACTAAACAAAACAACAAATAATTTTTTTTTTAAAGACATCTCTTTTTTTTTAATATTTATTTTTTTTTTTTTAGTTCTCGGCGGACACAACATCTTTTGTTGGTATGTGGTGCTGAGGATCGAACCCGGGCCGCATTCATACCAGGCGAGCGCGCTACCCCTTGAGCCACATCCCCAGCCCAACAAATAATTTTTAACACTGTTATTCAGACATAACTATTTTAAATAGCTTTGTAAATATCCTAGAAACCATTCCTTTAATTCTTAAAAAACTATTTTTAAGCCCAACTTATGAATAATTTTTTTCAAATATTTGCACATGCTTTGGTTCATGTTCAACACATTTATGATCTGCTTTAACTATATAGTGAACATATAAAAATTGTCCACATATGGATTTCCCTTTTTTTTTTTTTTTAACTTATCTATTTATTTGGTACCAGGACCTCACACATGATTACTTTACTACTGGGCTACACCCACAGCTTTTTAATTTTATTTTGAGACAGTCTTGCTAAATTGCCAGGTTGCCCTTGAACTTTTGCTCTTCCTCCCTCAGCCTCCCAAGTAGCAGGGATTGCAGGTGTGCACCACCACACATGGCTTGTACTTTTATTTCTGATACTGCTAGATTACTTTCCAAAAAGATTGTAGTAGTTTATGTTCTCACAAACTATACAGAAGAACACCTGTTCTTACTCTATTCAGTTCTAGATTTCACAAGCATGGGACATTTATTTTTTATTTCTTTTTTTTTTTTTTTGATAATTGTTTACTTTGCCAACCTAACAGATTATAGTTGAGCATATTTTATGTATTTATTAGCCACTTGCAATTCTTCCTGTTGTGAAATATGTCATTTGCTTTTCTTCTGATAAAATACTAATGTATATTTTTGAAGATTTTTAATGCTCTCCCTTGTCAAATTACTCTGGAGTAACTATTATAGTTTTCACATCATATCTTGAATCTGATCTGTTTTCATGAATCCCATCTTTGCAAATTGTGGGAATTGACTGCCAGGTAGTAATCTTTACCTTTTCTGATTTAAACAATTCTGTCAGTTTAAAGTAGTTTCCATTCCATATGAAGTTCAAGTCCCCAAGTTTGTGCAGAATCTCATAGGGTTTTTTTGTTTGTTTGTTTTGTTTTTTTGTTGTTGTTGTTGTTTTGGTTTGGGTTTTTTTGTTTTGTTTTTTGTTGTTTTTGGTTTGGTTTTGCTTTGTTTTATTTCTCCTCCTTCGGTTTCTCTTTAAAATGGCTTTTAGGTAAACGAGGGAGATAAACTTACATATTCTGCTTACAGGATGTAAAAGGAAGAACTTAAAAGACCCACAGGTCTTTTTACTGTCCTTTTGATCCTCTGATGTTCTAAATGACATGTCCTTGTCCACCGGGCTGCCCTGTTAGAATCTTACAACAAATCTCCAGCTGGTGATGAGGTAGAGTAGTTATTCACACTGT